TTCCATTCTGAGACAAAATCTTCAAATTTTCTTTATTTTTTGGGAAAAGTGTCAAAGGAAAAATTATTCCACACCAAATTTCACTTTAGGTCACCAAAGAATAGAAATCTCTATTTCCACTGCATATCAAAAAAATATCTGCTTCAATGTTGCCAAAAAAATTTCGGATTTTTTTTTTTTTAATTTTTCCTTGGACTTTTTTCGAGTTGATGAATAAAAGTAACATAAAATTTCGTTTTAGGCAAAAAGTGTCAAAAGACGATATATTCTAAACAAAATTTCATTCAAAAACTCAGAATAAACCAACCATCTAGGTACAACAGTTTTTAAGAAAATTACTCTCGAATTTTATGTACCACATTTGACAGGTTTTCAACCTAAGTCAAAAATCTCCCTTTAAACCTAATTTTTTGGGGAAAGTGTCCAAGGAAAAATTATTCTAAATTAAATTTCATTGTAGGTCTCCGAAAAATTTCATCTTTTCTACTTCGGAAAAATTCTAAAAAAAGTTGGTTATTCTCTAATTTCTTTTCATTTCCCATAAAAGGCATATAAATCACGGAAAATTTCCCCCAATCAAATTTCTGTTATTGTCGTTTTTATTTTTATTGCGATATTATATATATTTTTTTTATAATCTTATTAAATATTCCATTTGAATAAAGTATTACCGGCCATCACATCACATTCAATTTTATTTTAGATTATATTCTCCTCTGCGTTTTTGTTGCCATTGTAGTTGTTGCCTTAATTTATCGCGTATTGAGGCAAAATTGTTGGCGATTTAAAAAAAAAAAAAGTTCAAAAACAGAAAAATTTATAGAAAATCGAATCGTATAATAAAAACAATTACAACAACATGCAGGGAGGCACTTTAAAACGCTCGAATAAGGCGGGTAGGTTGGCTGGCAGTCAAGCCACAGTGATAGCGACACTATGTCAATGGAAATGAGAAAAATAGCGCATAAATTACCCAGCGGCAGCGCCATTGCCGGCGAGACAAAGGCAAAGACGCCGAGTAACCCCTCCACCGCCAACCGACCCAACCCTCAAGAACCCCGACCGATAAATCAGCCAGTCACTATCGATGTCGAAGAAAAGGCGTATTTTTGCAATTAATATGCTTCGAATTGAAACGATTTGCAGTCGTAACAAATTATTAACAAATCATTTTATATCGATAGAGAGAGAAAAAAATTAAAAAAAAAAAAAATAAAAACAACAACAGCAACAAAGATCCAAGAATTCAGGGTGTGCTGGTTTTTAGACTTGCGCCGATTTCAATGTTAATTTTTTCGCCTTTGCATGACTTGATAAGTTCAAGTTTAATTGCTTTGAAGTTGCATGTTTTTCACAGAGAGATAAAGAGAGAGTGAGGGGGAAAGAGAGATGTGGAAAAATTTCACAAGTGGATTTTTTCAAGGACCAACAAGAACAATTGCAATTTTTACGAATTTTGTACCGAAGGACAAACGTGTCAAATAAGTACCAAAACGCATAATTTTCACTTGTAGTACTTAAATTTCGAATGTAATTTTCTTAAAACCTATTAGACCTAGACATATAGTTTATTCTGAGATTTGTAATAAAATTTTGTGTAGAAGATTTCTTCCCTTGGAACTTTTATCGTTAACGAAATTTTATGGTAGTTTCAGTGATCAACTCAAAAAAAAGTCGGAGGAAAATTTATCAAAAAATTTAAGACAAATTTTTTGGCAACATGGGTGCAAATATTTTTTAGATATGCCGTGGAAATCGAGATTTCTTTTCTTTGGAGACTTATAGTGAAATTTGATATAGAATAATACTGTCTTTGACAGTTTTCCCAAAAATTCAAGTATTTAGGGCGATTTTGACTTAGAATGGAAACGTGTTAAATTAACAGTAAAAAAATCAAAGTCCATAATTTAGACTTGTGATACATAATTTTCGAATATAATTTTCTTAAAAACTATTATTCCTAGATATATGGTTTATTCTGGGACTAACAAAGAAATTCTGTGTAGAATATTTCTTTCTTTAACAGTTTCTACCTAAATTCAAACCGTACATAAGTTTCCAGCTTCAATTCGAAAAAAGTCCTAGCAAAAATTGATCAAAAAATAAATATTTTCATTTTTTTTTTTTGCAACATTGAAGCAAATATTTTGTTGATATGCAGTAGAAATAGAGATTTCGTTTTTTCGGTAACCATTAGTGAAATTTGATAAGGAACAATTCTTCCTTTGATACTTTACCCAAAAAGTGAATTATAAAGGCAGATTTTGACTTGGATTGGAAATGTGTTAAATTAATAGTAAAAAAGCGAACACATAATTTACACTTGTGGTACACAAATTTCGAATGCAATTTTCTTAAAATCTATTAGACCTAGATATATGGTTTATTCTAAGATTTATAAAGAAATGTTGTGTAGAATATTTCTTCTTTTGACACCTTCCCCCTAAAAAGAAATTTTATGTTCCTTTCAATCATCAACTCAAAAAAAGTCAAAGAAAAAAATGATCAAAAAAATTAAGAAATAGTTTCGGTTTTTGTTTGTCAAATTTATGCCTTAATTTTTTTTAATATGCAGTGGAAATAGAGATTTCATTTCTTCGGTAACCTACAGTAAAATTTGATGTAGAATAATTTTTCCTTTAATACTTTACCCAAAAAATCAAGTATTAAGGGAGATTTTGACTTGGATTGGAAATGTATTAAATAAACAGTAAAAAAAGCGAACACATAATTTACCCTAGTCGTACACAAATTTCGAATGCAATTTTCTTAAAACCTATTAAACCTAGATGTATGGTTTATTCTGAGATTCGTAATGAAATTTTGTGTAGAACATTTCTTCCTTTGGCACTTTTTGCGGTAAGCGAAATTTTATGGTACTTTCAGACGTCAACTCAAAATAAGTTGGAGGAAAATTGATTAACAAATTTAAGAAATATTTTCGAGTTTCTTTTTTTTTTTGGCAACATTGATGCAAATAATTTTTGGATATGCCGTGGAAATAGGGATTTCATTTCTTTTGAGACTTATAGTGAAATTTGATGTAGAATATTTCTTCCTTTAAAAACTTTCCCAAAAAATTAAGTATAAAGGGAGATTTTGTGTTCGAATGGAGAGGTGTCGAATAAGTAGCAAAAACGTAAATGCATAATTTTAACTTGTAGTACTTAAATTTCGAATGTAATTTTCTTAAAACCTATTGGACCTAGATATATGGTTCATTCTGAAATTCGTAATGAAATTTTGTGTAGAATATTTCTTCCTTTGGGACGTTTTGCCCTAAACGAAATTTTATGGTACTTCCAACTCAAAAAAAAGTCTACGAAAAAAATTATCAAAAAAAAAAAAAAAATAGGGAATATATTTTTTTTGGCAACTTTGATGCAAATATTTTTTGCTATTGCTTGGAAATAAGGATTTCTTTTCATTGATGACTTATAGTGAAATTTGATGAGGAATATTTTGGTCTTTGATGTCATCCCTCTAAAATGTTGCTTTGTTGGAGATTTTTGCATAAACTCAGATAGAGTACGGCTTTAACCCTAAAATGGACTTTTAATATATTTGAATTCCTGGAGTTCAGGTAAGATTTAGACTTTTGATATCTTCTGAGACCCTTAGTAGAATTTTATGACAAATAATTTTCTAGAATATTTTGCCTAGCTAGGATCCGATTTTGGGGAAGTTTTTAACTATATTTTCAAAAAGGACCAAAAAGACCCTTTTGTTGGCTCACTTGAGGGTTAACATATTTCACCGAAATAATCCTTGTATTGTTGTCTACAATATTGCCAAAGACACTATATACCTAAAATTAACGAATTGCCAGGAATCTTAATTCGAAAATTAAAAACAGGTAAAAAAGCTATAGGTTCGACCGGGCCGAATACCCTCCACCATTCAAAACGAATTTGGCAATTTTCCAAAAAAAAAAAATATTCATTAAAAATTCTGTTATAATCTTAAAACTACCGAATGTAGCCGTTATATTAGGATCTATACGACGACGTGGACCTGCATAGGCAACTTTTTTTCATAAGTCATTCAAATGAGAAACTTGAAAAAAAAAATCGAAGAATAATGTAGCTATAGCTATTCCAAAACGTAGAGCTACTCAGAAAATTTTCTGTCTAAGGCTGTAGTATCCATTACGATCTTCAAATACCAAATTTGAAGCAATTCCGGTGAATAATGATGCTAAACTCATCAAAATACCTAATATCTGGAGATACCGTTATATGAGGGCTATACGAAGACTTGGACCTGCATAGACAATTTTCTGCCATAGGCTGTAGTATCCATTACGAACTTCAAATACCAAATTTGAAACAATTCCGGTGAATAATGTCGCTAAAATCATCAAAATACCGAATATCGGGAGGTACTATTGTATGGGGGCTATGCGAAGACGTGAACCTGCAGAGACAATTTTCTGCCATAGGCTGTAGTATCTATTACGAACTTCAAACACCAAATTTGAAACAATTCCGGTGAATAATGTCGCTAAAATCATTAAAATACCAAATATCGGGAGGTACATTTGTATGGGAGGTATACGAAGACGTGGACCTGTAGAGACAATTTTTTGTCATAGGCTCTAGTATCCATTTCCAACTTCATATACCAAATTTGAAACAATTCCGGTGAATAATGTCGCTAAAATCATCAAAATGCTGAATATCGGGAGGTACCGTTGTATGGGGGCTATACCAAAACGTTGACCTACATGGCCCATTTTCAATACCAAAACTCCTGCAGACATAATATACATTTGAGTAAAATTTTATCGACCTACTTCATTTCGTTCGGAAGCTACAGCGATTTCCACAGACGGACGGACATCTCTAAATCGATGCTCTGTTTACGCCGATACTCGGGTCTTCTAGTATTAGCTCTATTTTCATTACCTATCGTATTTTCCCTGTGTTTTTTATTATTGTTGTTGTTGTTATTATTATTATTTTTTTTTTTTAAATTTATTTATTTATTATTTGCCTTACCTTAAATTCGGAACAGCTGCTGCAGCGGCTGCGGCCTGCAGCGGCGGTGGCACATTGTACGGGAACGGTAGCTTGGCAGCTACAGCGGGATTTTCGAATAGCATATTTGTGAAAATTGTGGAAACGTTAACGGTCGAATAGGCTCGATAGCAGGAAAATCACTTTAGCAATGGTGGATGCTCTGATGGAAAATAAAAACGTTTTTTTCTTTTCGGATTTTTTCACAAATTTTCTTTTCACTTTTTTTCCCAAGATTTTCTATTTTTCCCAGAGATTTAATTTTATTTTTTTTTTCTTTTCTGAGGAATTGAATACTTCAAAGGCCTTAATGCACTGGGGACATGCTGGGAGATTGCTTTGTGGAATTTGAAATATTTTTTTTTTTTTTTTCTTTAAAAATATTTTTTTTTTTTTTTTTTTTTTTTCAATATTTTCAACTATTTTGTTTGGAATTTTTTTTTTTTCTTTTTGAAAAATTTCCTTTTATTTTTTTTAATATTTTTTTTTCTTCTGAACCCTCTCAAATCTTGTGTTTGGGGAGGTCGCGGCTTAGATTAAACGCTCTCACACACACAGATATTCACACACACACACACACCGAGAAACAAAATTTTCAAGTAGAGCTCCACAAAATCAGAAAGCAAAACTCTAAGGGGATTTGTAGATTTTCTGTTGTTGTTGTCGATGTTGTTTTTGTTGTTGTTGTTGTTATGGTGTTTCCTTTGAACTTTATCTCTTGTTTAAAGTTGAGCAGCAGCAACAGCGGCAAAGCGGAGCACTTTAAGTGATGATGGTGTTTGTTGTTTTTTGATTTTTTAGTTGTTGTTGCTTCTTTAAGTTGAAATTGTTGTATTTTTTCCTCGGCAGTGATTTTGTGTTTGTCGCTTTGTTTTTAAATATCTATTTTTTTTAGATTTTATTTTCTTCAAAAACAAACAGAGACAACATTGACATAGAGCGACAGCGACCGGGAGACTGAGCGGCGGAGCGACTCAAAATTATTATCCAAAGCAGGAAGAAGACACGTTACGGTGTTGAGACAGACAGACAGACAAACAAATCAACAAAACAAACTGACGAAAGAATCAAAGAAATTTTCAAGTTGAGCAATCCGTGGAGTAGGTCGTCGAATTTTTGTTTGTTTTTTATTTGATTTTTTTTTATTTTTATTTCCAAAAATTAGAGTAAATAACTCGAATATTTATTTGATTTATTTTCTTGGTAAATTTTCGATGATAACAGAGGTTTCAATATTTTTATTTTTTTTAATTTTTGGAATTTTCTTCACAGATTTTTATTTTTTTTTTCCAAAGGAGCTGAAAAGATAAAGAAAAAACAAATAAAAATTAATATTTTAAATAAAAAAAAAATAATTAATATTTTAAAGATATCTATCAAAATAAAAAAATAACTATCCAAAAAATCCAAAACGTGGATTTGATTAAGAATTTTTTTCAAAGGAAAATAGACCGAAGAAAAGATTTAACAAAAAACAAAAATTAGGATATATTTTCGTTTTTGTTTTTTCTTGTTTTTTTTTTTTTCTTGTTTTTTTTTTTTTGTAATTTTGATTCAAATATTTCTTTGATATGCAGCGGAAATAGCGACTTCTTGTCTTTGGCGAGGTATAGTGAAATTTGATGTAGAATAATTCTTCCTTTGATACTTTTACCAAAAAATGGAGAAAAACTGGAGATTTTGACTTGGAATGGAAACGTGTTAAATTGGCAGTAGGAAAAGTTATCACAAATTTTTCACTTGTGGTACATACATTTCGAATTTAATTTTCTTAAAACCTATTAGACCTAGATACATGATTTATTCTGAGATTTATAATGAAATGTTGTGTAGAATATTTCTTCTTTTGATATCTTTCCTCTAAAATTAAATTTTATATTTCTTTCTAGCATTAATTCGAAAAAAAGTCCTGGGAAAATTGATCAGAAAAATTAGGGAATATTTTCGGGGATTTTTGGGTAACATTGACGCCAATATTTTTCTGATATGTAGTGGAAATAGAGACTTCTCTTCCGTGGTGATGTATGGTAAAATTCGATGTAGAATAATTCCTCCTTTGGTACTTTTGCCAAAAAATTAAGAAAAACGGGGGAATTTTGTCTCAGAATGGAAACGTGTCAAATTAGCAGTAGGAAAAGTTATCACAAATTTTTCACTTGTGGTACATACATTTCGAATGTAATTTTCTTAAAACCTATTAGACTTAGATGTGTAATTTATTCTGAGATTTGTAATGAAATTTTGTGTAGAATATTTCTTCCCTTGACACTTTCTCTCTAAAATGAAAGTTCATGTTACTTTCAGGCGTCAACTCGAAAAAAGTTCTGGGAAAAATTGATCAGAAAAATCAGGGAATATTTTCGGGGTATTTGGGTAACATTAAAGTAAATATTTTTCTGATATGCAGTGGAAATAGCGACTTCTTTTCTTTGGCGAGGTATGGTGAAATTTGATGTAGAATAATTCTTCCTTTGATACTTTTCCCAAAAAATGAAGAAAAATGGGACATTTTGTCTCAGAATGGAAACGTGTTGAATTAGTAGTAGAAAAGAAAACACAGTACCTTCTAGTACCTAAATTTCGAATGTAAATATCTCAAAACCCATTAGACCTAGATATATGGTTTATTCTGAGATTTATAAAGAAATATAGTGCAGAATATTTCTTCTTTGGACAACTTCCCTCTAAAATGAAATTTTATGTTACTTTCAGTCGTCAACTCGAAAAGAGTCTGAGAAAAAATTGATAAAAAAAAATCAAGGAAACATATTCGTGGTTTTTTGGGAAACATTAAAGCAAATATTTTTTTGGTATGCAGTGGAAATAGAGAATTCTTTTCTGTGGTGAGGTATAGTGAAATTCGATGTAGAATAATTCCTCCTTTAATACTTTTCCCAAAAAATGAAGAAAAATCGGAGATTTTTGTCTCAGAATGGAAATATGTTAAATTAGCAGTAGGAAAAGTCATCACAATTTTTTCACTTGTGGTACATACATTTCGAATGTAATTTTCTTAAAACCTATTGGACCTAGATATATGGTTTATTCTGAGATTTGTAATGAAATTTTGTGTAGAATATTTCTTCCCTTGACACTTTCTCTCTAAAATGAAAGTTCATGTTACTTTCAGGCGTCAACTCGAAAAAAGTACTGGGAAAAATTGATCAGAAAAATCAGGGAATATTTTCGGGGTATTTGGGTAACATTAAAGTAAATATTTTTCTGATATGCAGTGGAAATAACGACTTCTTTTCTTTGGCGAGGTATGGTGAAATTTGATGTAGAATAATTCCTCCTTTGATACTTTTACCAAAAAATGAAGAAAAATGGGAGATTTTGTCTCAGGATGGAAACGTGTTAAATTGGCAGTAGCAAAAGTAAACATATAATTTTCTATTTAAGTAAATAATTTTCGAACCCAATTTTCTTAAAACCTATTAGACCTAGACATATGGTTCTGAGATTTGTAATAAAATTTTATGTAGAATATATCTTCCTTTGACATCTTTCCTCTAAAACGAAATTTTATTTTACTTTCAGGCGTCAACTCGAAAAAAGTCTGAGAAAAAATGATCAAAAAAATTAGGGAATATTTTCGGGGCTTTTTGGGTGACATTAAAGCAAATATTTTTTTTTTTTGGTATGCAGTGGAAATAGAGACTACTTTCCTGTGGTGATCCATAGTGAAATTTGATGTAGAATAACTCTTCCTTTGACACTTTTCCCAAAAAATTAAGAAAAATGGGAGATTTTGGCTTAGAATGGGAACGTGTCATGTCAGAATGTAATTTTCTCAAAACCTATTAGACCTAGACGTATGGTTTATTGTGAGATTTACAATGAAATGTTGTGTAGAATATCTCTTCTTTTGAGACCTTCCCTCTAAAATGACATTTTATGTTACTTTCAACTCGAAAAAAGTCTGAGAAAAAATTGATCAAAAAAATCAGGGAATATTTTCGGAGCTTTTTGGGTACATTAAAGCAAATATTTTTGTGATATGTAGTGGAAATAGGGACTTCTTTTCTGCGATGATGTATAGTAAAATTCGATGTAGAATAATTCTTCCTTTGACGCCTTTGCCAAAACATTAAGAAAAAATGGGAGATTTTGTCTCAGAATGGAAGCGTGTTAAATTAGCAGTAGCAGAAGTAAACACATAATTTTCACTTGTGTACATCAATTTCGAATACAATTATCTCAAAACCTATTGAACCTAGGTATATGGTTTATTCTGAGATTCATAATGAAATGTTGTGTAGAATATTTCCTCTTTTAACATCTTCCCCCTAAAATGAAATTTTAGGTTTCTTTCTGGCATTAACTCGAAAAAAGTCCTGGGAAAAATTGATCAGAAAAATTAGGGAATATTTTCGTGCTTCTGTTTTGGCAACATTGATGCAAATATATTTTGATATGCAATGGATATATAGGTTTCTTGTCTTTGGTGACTTATTGCGAAATTTAATGCGGAATATTTTTGTCCTTGACGTTATCCTCTTAAAATGATGGTTTGTGGGAGATTTTTGCATAAACTCGCATAGAGTACGACTGTAGTCCCAAAATAATGGATTTTAAAGTATTTTTTCCAGGTTTCAGGTATTTCTTAAAGACTAACAGGCGTGGATTTCAAAAGTAAATTTTTGAAATCCAAAAATGTGGATATGTGGCAAAATAATGGATTTTTAAGCTTTTTTTCAAGTCCAGTATTTTTCAAAGACAAATAGGCGTGGATTTCTAAAGTAAATTTTTGGAACCTAAAATTTTGGATATTTAACATAATTTCAAAAAATGTCTGGCCAGCAAAAAAATAAGCATTTTTTAAAAATTAAAAATTTTAAAATAATTTCTAAGCCTTTCAATTGAACCCAAAACAAAAATTCTCTTCACCCACCAAGACCGATTTTTTCCAAAACCGTGAATTCTTTTAATATTTATTTTTATACCCTCAGTCATACGGCTAGGGAGGGTATCATTTGATACGACCAAAACGTGCCTCATCGAAATAACGGTTTTAGACCCCAGGTCTCTTTGGACCAAATCCGTTTCAGGACATTTGGAGTCGATCTAGCGATGACCGACCGTCCGTCTGTCTGCCGATTTGCACCAAACTTGGTACATCGTAATATTATTGTCAAACTTAGATCGAGCTCGGAGATTGGCAATATCGATCCACTCCTTTTGGTACCTTCCACACAAAATGTCAATATTTTCAAAGAAAATAATTTACTGCACAGAGAGAGAACCGATAATCCGATTTTGCTCTAACTTTGCATATCCTAATATTTCCATCAGTGCTACGTCAGGTGTGAAAATTGACAATGTTGGTTCACTCCATCAAGTACCTACCCCACAAAGGGTCAAAATTTGG